GGGGAGGGCAGGGCGCGTCCATGCAGGGGGGGGGGGTGAGGTGTCGGGGGTCAGGCTGACCAATGACGAATGTCTGAATCGGTCGCTGCTTTGTCGCTTCAGCAGCGTGCTCGGATCATGCTGGGTGAGCAGACGGTACGGGCCGATCAGCAGGCTGGAGATGCATGCATTGTCCTTGCAGCTCGCAGCGGTGCGCGCCGCACATGGGCGAAACGCGGCTGCCGCTCACCTCGCGGTTCCCAAATGGCTGATCACTGGTATCAGCGCATCCAATTGATCGTGAGTATGCGTGCTGCGCCCATTGAGAGCCGCTGGCTGGCGGGGTCGCCCTGTGGGCAGGCTTTCTGATGCGTCGGAGGTGCAGGGCTGTGGCTACGCCGGGATTGCAAGCAGCCGACGAGCAACCTAGGGACTGAGAAGCCTGCATTGCTGCGTGCTGGCTCAGTAGTGATCGCTGGCTTGAGGGAGTGTGCGTGGAAGGCCTTGTGACTGCACTTGAGCTGATACGTGGGCGTTCGAATCCTGTAAAGACTTTTAGACCTGCCTGCACGGTGTTCGGAGGTCATTGAGCCCACAAGCACCCACCTTGCGGCAGTCACTCATTGGCGTCGTCAGCGGCCGTCGGGAATGAGTCGTGGTGTGCACATCCAGGGACGGCGAGGCTGCACACTCAAGTTTGATGCGCACTGTGGTGTGCACACTGATGAAAGCGACCTTCTCAGTGTGTCATGAGCCGCAGCGCACGATGCCAGACCCAGAGTCGGCGCAACCGTGGTGAGGCACCTGGGCACACAGGCGCTTGCTTGTGCCACATAGGGCCGCACGTTGTGGGATGAACGCCCGTCAACCCCCGCCCCCGCAATGAGTGTGTCATGCATCTCGCAGGCTGGCAACGCCGCTGCGCCTCAAGTCCTTCAGCACCCCAGAACATCCCCTTGCTCTCTCGCCACCCAGTCCCAGACGAATCGGCGGTGCCGCCTGCACCTGTAAGCCGTCTGCTGCGTCGTCGTCGTTACGAAGAAAAAAGGGTTGCCTGCTGACAGAGAAGAGAAAGCCTGTGGGGATCCAGCCAAGGTGTGTAGTGAACAAAGCTTCCTGGGAAGTCAACGCGTCAACCTATCCAACAGATCTCGGGTCAGGGCTGTGTGCTGTTTGCGGTCAACCTGTCTCGGTGGGCCCGTCAAAGTGGCAAGGGCCTGGGGTGGGCTCGCAAACGAATGCATGACCGCACTTGAACAAGCTAGCGCTGAAGCGGTTGCCAAAGTCCAGAGGCGTGCTCGCTGTCACCAGCTGCAGTGCGTGAAACGTGTTTGCACCATGGGGTGCGCATGCGGATTTGTTGTGTGCCAAAGAATACCTCGCAGGGCGATGTGTCGGGCTCAAAGACAGTCGGTTTGTTCTGGGGAGCTGCGCTAGGTGTGATGAGGGGTGGCATGCCTGTCCTGTCGGCGCGTCCAAGAAAGGGCCCAAGGGAAAGTGGAAACACGCCAGAGGTCGGGTGCCGCAGCCAGCAGCTTTACTCCAGGACGACGACTCATGCGAGGTTCAGCGAGGACAGCCGCTGTGGATGCCGCAAAACAGTGCCCAGGGCCCAGCGTCCAAGGAAGCGACCAGTTCCTTGGGGACAGCGCTGAGGCGCGGGTATTTGAGACAGGAGGGAGTCATTCCTAAGTCACACGCAGACGGGTCGCAGGCGCCGTCAAAAGGGGCAACGCTCTGGATGGTCCACAGCAAAGCAGGCAGTGTCAGCAAACAGCCCCCGCGACAAGGGCAGCGAAGGGGCGCGCAGAGAACCCTGCTCCCAGGGGTTCGAGTGGCTTTGGTCGTCAAAGGGCATGCACACGACGCAATGCGTCCGTCTGAAACCCAACACGGGGTCCTGGGAGCACCTTGCTACAAGTCGGTCAGGCCCCAGGACGGCACGCAACTGCTGGTGGCCGCGCCAGCGGGCGCGGCGCCAACACCGGCAATTCACAGCCGCGCGGCAGTGTGGCGATTTCGCCTTCTCAGGATCGGTGTCGCAAGGAAGGGCCCTTGCCGCAGGGCGGTTCCGTTGCAGAACAAGGACGGGTTCAAGGTGGTGAGAGGACCAGTGATAGATCCCGAGTTGACAGGCCACTGGGGTGGCCTTGCTTGCACGCGCGTCACAAATGCTCAGGGTTGCAAGACAAGTGCGGCGGCAGAGTTGCCATAAGAAGGCAAGTGAGGGTCCACAGATCGATCGCGTCGCACAAGGTCGCAGCGCGCGAGTGTCACGTGGGCCTGAGGGTCAAGGGCTGTGCTGTTGGTGGCGGGTGCCAGGGTTGATGGCCATGGGTGGCCGCGTGCGTTGAGTCGTGGGCAGTCAGCCGCGTCATGGGTTGGGGGGGCAGGCGAGCAGTCGTGTTGGGCCGCGGGGCCGGCTTCCGGTGCATCTTGTTGGGGCAAAGGAGACATTCTTGCTCTTGGGTCGGTGCTCATTGTCGGCCAGGTCCAGGCGAACGGCGGTCGCACCAGGCGGCCGGCCGCGCGTGGCAGCTGCCAAAATGGGTGCGTTTCTTGCAGAGTCGGGGACGTGCGTGCAGAGCGGTTTCAAACACCACGTTTTCTTGGTGGCGGCTGCGGCTGATGGGTCTCTGATCTTGACTCGGTAGTGCTTGGAACGGCAGAGTCCCTGCTTCTTGTCTTGTCTTGTTCTGGTCTTGTTTATACCGTTTGGGGACGATGCAGGTCATGCGTGCGCTGACCTGCGCCGAGCCGGGCGATTTGTGGCGCAACACAGGGAGGTGGTGAGGATTTGAAACAACTTGACTTGAAGTGGACTGAGGGCTGCAGGACTGCAGCCACACAAGGCCAGGTGACAAACCCACAAAAGCGCAAGCCAATGGCCCCCACCAGCCCCTGCACTCATGCCCTCACCTCGGGCAGGCCTTCCTCCTGTGGACGGCCGCCGGCGGCACGCTGACCTGCGGCCGCGCCGCGCGCTGCGCCGCTGCCCCCGCCCTCGGCCCGCAGCCGGCGGCCTGGGGCGCCGCCCAGCTCAGCCGCGCGCCGCAGGCGGCCAGGTTGAGCAGGACGGGGGCGGGGAGGGCCTTGCAGGGGCTGGTGGCGGCCGCGGGGGCGGCGCCCTTGGTCTTGTCCTTCTTGTCGTTCTTGGTGGTGCCCTTCTTGGCCACGGCCACGGCCCCGGCGGCGGTCTGCTTGACGCGGACGGCGACGCGCGTTGGCTGCGCAGCAAAGCCGGCGCTCTGCGGGGCGGGTTTGTCGCGACGCGGCGGTGAGTGATCGCGCCGCAACAGAGAACTTTGCATGTCGGAAAAGGCGACGGCGCTCGAGCCATCACCCCGTCTATGCCAGGGGTTAATCCGTGCAAGGGTGTGTTACCGATTCTGCACTGCATGAGTTCAGTTTGAGTGCGGCCCCCCCAACACACTGCCCAGCACACCGAGCCTCACCTTGGTGCGGCGCGCCTCGCCGTCAGAGGGCATGAGGGGCGCCAAGCAGGGCTGGCAGCTCACCTGCGGCGGGAGGGCGGGCCAGATTGAGGTTTTGTTTGTGAGAGAGGGGGGCTGTATCAGTTGGGTGGGTGGGCGAGCCGTCCGTGGGAAGATGTTCGTTGTGAGGCCCAATGACGGGGGGGGGAGGGGGCAGAACAATTGATACCAATGTGGAACCTTGAAGCAACAGCACAGGAGCGAGCGTTGCGCCTCCTCGAAAGACCCAAAAGGATGAAATAGGCAGGGCCCCACCTCATGCGCGGCGCGGGCCTCGGTGTCGCACGCGCTGCTCGCGCCGCCCTCCGCCCCCAGCAGCCCAGCCAGCGCCGCCGCGGCGCCGGCCTCGAGCCCCTCCGCCTCGGCCGCGACGCCCCCGCCGGCGCCCCCCTCGGCCGCCCAGGAGGCGCCCTCCGGGGCGGCGGCGCCGCGCCGGCACGAGGCCACGGCGCGGGCGCTTTCAAACAGCGCCTCGACGCACGCCAGTGCCGAATCGGCGGCCGCGACGCTGTCCTGGAAGTCCTGGATGGCAAACACGCCGTGCTTCATCACGGCCGCGGCCGCGGCGGCCATGCCCTTGATCTCTCGCGCCGCGGCGGCGTCGGCGGCGGCGTCCTTGGCGGCGGCGTCGCGCGCCGCGGCGTCGCGGTCGGCCAGGATCATTTGGAGGCGGTGGTCCCTGGGTGCACCATCACGGGGGGTGGGTCGGGGCGG